TTCAATGCATAAATTCAGAGGCTCCCACAAATATGGAGGCTATAATGAGGTACCAATATGAGCTGTTTTCATGGTCCAGACAGTGATTCTTCTTTAAACATGACTCACCATTTTGCAATATTTAATGAATCTGAAATATAGTTTGAGGCCTTTGAAGGTTCTTTCTATCTCTGAAATGAAAGCAAGATAGAAAGAGAGAAAAGGTGCATCACTGAATTACTTATGTAACCATGGTTCCCTGAGTAGGGAACGAGACACTGCATCCTCTAGGGGTCACCTCGTCGTGACCCGTGTCTGAAGCATACATTCAAAAACACCAAAAACATGTTGGGCCGGTGAAAGCCCATGACGTCACTATCAGTGCGACTATAGTATAAATAGGTGCCGGGAGAACACGTCATTCACTTCTTCGTCTGAAGCTTGTGTCCGAAGCATGGCAGGAAACCTAGAGGATGCAGTGTCTCGTTCCCTACTCAGGGAACCATGATTACGTAAGTAACCTGATACATTCCCTTTTAAGGGAACTTTTAACTGCGTCCTCTAGGGGTCGCTATGGGGAACGATATACCCACGCCACCATGCTGAGGGGAGTGCATGCCAGAAACCAATGGCGAGCAGTAAGTACCAACTCTACCATAGCCATGGGAGTTGCCCCTAGGACGTTAGACGGCTGTCCATGACATTATCCCCTACGGCCAAAGGCCAAGGCTACATACCCCAAAAAGCTTACCTGTTAGGGCCAGACTCCTGGGCCCGGGGAAGAGCTCAAGGCTTGGAATCAGGAATAGATTCCTTTAAGGGGATACGACCATGAGCCTAGCATTATACTAAGTCTTCGCCTGTCACACAGGGGCTACTGCTTGCTCTGCATGAGCTTGCTGAAGGAACTGACTCAAAAGACCCCTAGTAGCAACACCCTCTTAAAAGTGAGAAGTGCGACTATAGTATAAATAGGTGCCGGGAGAACACGTCATTCACTTCTTCGTCTGAAGCTTGTGTCCGAAGCATGGCAGGAAACCTAGAGGATGCAGTGTCTCGTTCCCTACTCAGGGAACCATGATTACGTAAGTAACCTGATACATTCCCTTTTAAGGGAACTTTTAACTGCGTCCTCTAGGGGTCGCTATGGGGAACGATATACCCACGCCACCATGCTGAGGGGAGTGCATGCCAGAAACCAATGGCGAGCAGTAAGTACCAACTCTACCATAGCCATGGGAGTTGCCCCTAGGACGTTAGACGGCTGTCCATGACATTATCCCCTACGGCCAAAGGCCAAGGCTACATACCCCAAAAAGCTTACCTGTTAGGGCCAGACTCCTGGGCCCGGGGAAGAGCTCAAGGCTTGGAATCAGGAATAGATTCCTTTAAGGGGATACGACCATGAGCCTAGCATTATACTAAGTCTTCGCCTGTCACACAGGGGCTACTGCTTGCTCTGCATGAGCTTGCTGAAGGAACTGACTCAAAAGACCCCTAGTAGCAACACCCTCTTAAAAGTGAGAATCCGGAGGATACATAGGTGGAGTGGTGCCCAAGGTGGAACCGGGGCTTTTAACCAACTCAAGAAAGGGCACGAAGCTGCCGCGCGTAACCCTCACCATACAGGATTTTAGAAAGAATGCAAAGTACTAGCGTGCGAACTTACCACAGTGTGGATTTTAGAAAGTGTACAAAGACTTCACATGCACACTTACCATAACATGGATTTTAGAGATACCGTCCAAAGGGGCTCTCGTGGCACTCTGAAAGAGCAGCCCACAGATGGAAATGGTACATCACCAGAACAAAATGTTTGAGAAGCCATCAGCTCGATCTATGGTAAAATGCTGGAATGGCTAGCAGTAAGTTACCTAGCTGAGGGAGCAACACACCCAGCTCTCAGTCGAGAGGGGGCTCGACCTACAGCATGTTCATTATAAATCAGAAGGGTAAGTGTACTGCAAGCTTAGCCAAAAACTCAGTGCACCAGGGAGGCAGAGGAAGGGCCTAGTTCGCCTGATGTTGCCGGTTCCATGTGCTCTGGGAAAACAGAGAACTCAACTCTCACGTGAGAGGAGAACTCAGAATTCAGAAAGCAGTAGCGTGCTCATAGGCAACCCTTTGATAAAAGGGAACACTGCTAAACACTACCACGGGAACAGCCCACTGAGCAAGGAATCCAACTCCTCAGAAAGGGAGATAATTCAAATGCTCGAAAGAAAGCACCAAGCTCACAATAACCCTCAATGGTGAGGGGAGCGATGCTTCAAAACGTGTGTCAACAGAGACACACTGGTTGAGTGGAGCCCAAGGCGAGTACCGGGGTCTAAGCCAACTCAGAGAAAGGGAACAAGGCTAATAACAGTTAACCCTTACCATACAGGATTTCAGGAAGTGCGCAGAGTCTTAGTGTGCACACTTACCACTATGTGGATTTTAGGAAGTGCGCAAAGTGCTCAGCGTGCACACTGACCACCATGTGGATTTCAGAAAGTGCACAAAGCTTAGCGTGTGCACTTACCATAGCATGGATTTAAGAGCTTCCCAAGCCAAACGGAAGTGGCAAGCTCAAAGATAACCCTCTGAGACGAGGGGAGCACTGCCTGAGACAGCATTTCACAAGAAGGTTCTTGCAAATGCCACCTATACTTCCCGCTCTGTGCCTCAGCAAGAGGGGATATCCTGGTGACCAGGAAGCCCCTTAGGGCTACCTAGATACGGCATACCAGACAGGGCAGCCTGAAAGCATAAGCCCAGCCCGGACTTCCAGGAAATTTTGCAGTGCCGTGCCGGGGGCCTGATGATCAAGAAGGCTCCCACAGAAGCCTGTGATCTGGCCGCATGATCCAGGAAGCATGAAGCCGGAACCAGGGCTATCATACTGACTGGATACAACATCGACAAATGAGGTAATCACTGCAAGTCGAGAACCTGGTTTCTGAATCCAGCAGAGGGGGTGCTCACCGAGGACCTACCCTTGAAAAGGACAGAAACACACAGGTCCCGGAAAACACTGCAAAGTAAGCTCGCAGATGGAATACACGCAACCACCAGCGTATTAAATATATATTTTTATAAAAATGGATCGTACTCACCCAACATGGTTCCCCGCTCAAGAAGCGACCCGAAGAAGCCTTTAGTCCGGACCATCAGTAAGGTAGTTACTATGAAGCCATAGAACCAACCGAAACATTATAGGTCCAGCATAGGAGACTGTAATGCAGGAAGTTCCTACCTAACCTCGGTCAAGTGGAGAGATGGTGGTTACAGGGGAATTAGGAAGGGGAAGATAAAGGCAGATGTTAGACCCCCCGAGGGAAATTAGAAGATACTTAAGTATCACAATGATCCGGACGAAATCTAGGATCACATCCCTTAGGTCTTGCCTACATCCCTTTGACTCGCGATTCCTCCTACCCCTACCCACAGGCGGGGGAGGAGCACGAGCCGCGACACTAGCCTTCTCTGGCCGTCTCTGATCCTCAGAACGAGATGGGCCAGGACCCCTGGGTTGTTCAGGCTGAGACCTGGACCTTCGTAGAATTAAGGATTTGAAGGCTGCTGAGCTGGAGGGCTATGGTCAGAAAGATAACGCTCATCGAGATGTCCTCGCGACGTCACTTTCTTGGCCCGCTTCCACGGCAAGTAAAGCCTCGCCATGGCGCTATCCATAACCTCCAATAGCTCATCATATGCAGGGCAAGAGGATTGGGAGGGCTCAGCCTCAGCCTCAGCCTCTTCGCCATTCTCAGACATCTCCTGCTCTTCCTGGGCCAAACCCAGCAGAGCACTGGCCCCTGGATCAGACGATGTTAGGGAAATAACATCATCCTCCAGCGGCTCACTCTCGTCCACAGCCGATGAGCGTGAGAGGGAAAGCCCCTCTTTAAACTCATCGGCCATATCCGCCTGCGATCCCCACAAGCTCATTCTCCTCCGTGCCTCAGCAGCGGCGGGTCCTGAACCCGCGGGGAGCAGACGGCTGCCCCTCTCTCCTCGAAAAGAGAGACAAAGAGAGCGGAGCTTTTTCATCGAAAAACACTCACAGTTAAAGCAAATTGCCCAATCGAGGACATCGTGTACGTACTCTTCACCCAAACAAAAAACACAAAGATCATGTGTGTCATCAGGTGTCAAATAACGACGACACGGATGCACACATCTTCTAAACGTCTTGCACGTGCTCACCATAATGAAGGAAGAAAGATCGCTCTTACCACGTAATGCACGCTTCAAACAAAACAGTCAAAGAAGAGGAAGTGAATGACGTGTTCTCCCGGCGCCTATTTATACTATAGTCGCACCGGTAGTGACGTCATGTTGTTGGTGTTTTTTGAATGTATGCTTCAGACACGGGTAATGACGAGGCGCCCCCATAGCGACCCCTAGAGGATGCAGTTCGAAGTTCCCTTGACAGTAAGCCAATTTTGTGAGTATGACAGCTGATGGGCAGCTGCTTTCAAACACTCCTGTGTGTTTTTTTTCAGCTTTCAGCAGTGTAGCCAATCACAGAAATGGCATCTGAGCTCATAAACTCAATGGCCAATCAGAGATGTTTAAGTTAGTCAGAATCCACTCAGTACCAGAGTTTTCATTCAATGTGCATTGACTTTTCCACACACTCGCAAATCCTTTGATTATAAATATCAAAGTGTAAATATAATTTAAATAAGAAATTAATTGTTTACAACTTAATTATAGCGGGTGTTTTTGCCAGAATCATTTTTAGCTATATCGTTCAGCCCTAAGTAGGGACATCCTGTTATAAAAGAGTGTTCTGTTTTGGCCTGACCTATTAAAACATAGTATTATATTCATGTATTTAAGATATGCATGCATGCACGCATCCTAAAGATGGTGGCCACAACAAAAAAATAACGTGCCTGAAACCCATGAATAAAGACAGTTAATAATGTCAGCAGTTTGAGCCCGAGTCAAATTCTGGCAATGCAAATGACCAAGCCAATCGACCGGAAACAACTTTGCAAGCACATTTGGGTTGTACTGTTCTGGAACAGTGTTGTAAAGGAATCTTAACCACTGATTCCTAAGTGCATCCACTTTCGGAAGACCAAATAAAGTGCTTTTGCTTCTGCATAGAAACACACAGCATCTCCACTGCATGGCAGCAACAACACTACTGCAATAAACCACAACTTCTTTCTTTGCGCATACATTTGTGTGGCGTTATGTAAATATTTCTCTTTTAGAGAAATGCTTCTCTTTTAGATTGAAAAAAAAAATCCTTTTGTGGGAGACTTTGAGCTTTGTAAGTTTGCAGATCTTATATATGCACAAACAACTAGAAAACAAAAATATGAAAACAGATCATATGGCCCCTTTAAGTTTCTTTTACTTTTCTAACCTTGCACTGAGATTTATTTTCATTCACCTGTATTTTGATGTAAAACATGTATCTCAAGGTGGGTTAAAAGAAAACTTTATTGTGCTCTGTGTGTCAAAGATAAACATTACGGACACTGTTTAGGGGCTGATTGAATGCTTCATGCATTAATGGCTATACCTACACCTGCCAATGTGTTACAAGGCTTTTTTCATTAATTTATAAATTAATCATAAATTTATTGGCCATTTTATTTTTACATGAGTAAAGTATAGTGGGGAAAGTAGAGGTGAGCGAGGGGGAGTGGGTTCAGGACATGTGAGCCAACAGCTGGTATATACATGTCCTGAGCATGTATACAACCCTCTGTGCCGCAGTCCTGAACTTTTATAAAGTTTTAACTCACTACTTAGATGCAGGTACATAATTGATGATACATAGGTACATATAAACTTTTCTCATGTTTTACCCAAAACAATGTGGACAAGGCTTGGTAAAAATTTATAACTGCACTAGAAAATAGGGAAACTAGGTTTAGAAATGTAGCCTTGAATGGATTTTCACAATGTTTGCCACAATCTATCTATCTAAAAAAAAAAAAAAACTGAACGCGTGTATAGCTGATTAAAGCATTGACCCCATTTCCCTAGAGCACAACAGGTTTATTAACTTGACTCAGTGTTGAAGGTTCATGACCTGAGAATAATCAACTGCATTCGAAGTGCCTTGGAGGTAATTTGAGGAAGTTGAAATGTACTCTAACAAGGCTGCCTAGCTAGAATGAACCAAATTGCTCATGAATTGATCATGAGCTATTAACATAAAATAGCTCATGAGTATGGGGCTATCTGCTTCTGAATATGTTTCTGAAATGGAGAAAAAAACTCTCAGAAGCAACATGCGTGTGAGAGGTTGCAAGACAAATTAGGAATTGTAGATTTAGATTTCAGTGTGTCAGTGGATAAATGATATGTTTTGAAATGTTGCCATACACTGCAGGTGCACCAATGGTGAAACAAAAGAACAAGGGGATAACATAATTACAACCCTGGTGGCTGCCAGATTTTGGTTGTTTGAGAGAATCTGATTTTGGAAACATGTCTTTCAAACATTTAAACAAATAGATGTAATCCCAAACTAACTTTCTTAAACTCGCACACTGAAATACAATTTTTGTTAATGATATTCACCATCCAAGAGTCATTAATGAAGGGGACTTTAAGTGATTCATAATTAGACACCTGCAAATACAAAGGCACAAGCAGCATCTAGGATATTCGCGATCATTAGTACAATAATATAGTCCCCTGTGGTTTCTAACACACACTGCAAGTGATTGAATCAAGAATTTCCTCGCAGCATTGTTGATTTCCTGTGAGTCAGACACAAGTTCATACAGATAAATCAGACCGGATTAAAATATATGGTGCCATGTCTGTCAAGTCAAAAGATAGCCATCTCAATATGTCATTCAATAATCGTGGATGATACATTGCAAATGCAATCCATTGAGGAGAAGTGCTTTCTTCCAGTAAGTCGTCTCATAAACTGTGTCATATAAAAAGGCATCTGCAACCATGCTGTGGCTGAGCTTGTTAAAATCCCTCTGTTCCTAGTGCTTGCGACTCTAAATACAAAAATAAAAAAAATAGGAATGTTTATTCCTAAACTGATGGCACTTAATAAATAGCAGATTTTAGAGGCCTGGCATCATGTTTTCATTCTGTTTACCGCAGTATCAAGAGAACAACCCTGATCTTCCCATTGCACACCAATAATAAAAGTGTAAAAGAGGGAAAATTAATGACACATTTTGATTAAAGAAGTCAAATGGAAAATAAATCACAAACAACTCGCATACATATACTACAAATAGCAGTTTTTTTTCCACACAGGAGTGCACAGAATTACTTTTAGTGGGAAACAACCCTGGTGATCTAAAATGAATGTCTAATGTAGGGCAAGGTATTTATGCTATTTTAATTTTAAATAATTTTTAATAATTTTATCATAATAATTATTCAGTTTATCAGGTATATAATTGTTTACAATGAAATTATAGTTATATAATTTGGTATGTAAATGAAGTTCATTTCAAATGAAATTTGGTTCAAATTGTCGAAGAGTTAACGTACAGGTAACTGACATCACCTAAAATAAATGTTGCAGTTTTAAAGTGGGGACATGGGGTAATGTCCTGAAAAGTCACCTTCTCCTTGTAATACCTGTGTTATACCTTTGTCATTATACAAATTTATGTCCTCATTTGTCACAAAAACGCGCACACACACACACACACACACACACACACACACACACACACATTAGTATATGTGCATGGATGCATACTACTGTCAAATCTTTTAATATTATTATTATTATTATTAAAGTCGTACTTATATCTGGCAAGGACACAATAAATTGATCAAAAATTAAAGTAAAGACATTATTACAAAATATTTCTTTTTAAAATACATGTTGCTCTTTTGCACTTTCTATTCATCAAAGAATCCTGGAATGAATGAATGAATGGAAGAGCGAGCGAACGAACGAACGAATGAATGAATAAATTAATATATTAATTAATAAATAAATAAAAGTATTACAGTTTATACAAATATATTATGAAGCACAACAGCTCAAAGCTGTTTTCTTGGAAGCTGCAGTTGTCATAAATCCTCATTATTTTGACAGTTGTTTGTTTCTCTCTCTGTTGATCTTGGACCAGATCTGGACCCCAGTCTAACCCTTCACTAATAAAAGAGTAAAACTAGTCTGGCATTAGCATGAAGGGCTACTTTCCTCAGTAAATGTGGGATCTGTATCACCTCCTCTTCCTGAATAAAAGAGGGCAGAGGGCCACTTGAGGGACTTTGATAATGAGTGAGTCAAGTCGATCTGGGGAATTTTTTGGCTCCCCCTTGGCTCAAGAGACTAAATCTATTTCCATCTCTCCCATATGTTCTGATCCAAAAATGGGTCTTTTTATGTAACAAAGCCAAGTATACATGGACTCACTAAACTTCAGCCTCTCAGATAGTCACGATGCTGTTTTCTTCATTTCCTGTCCTGCAGAGATCCTCACATCTGTCTACAAGCTCTCTAATTCTTCTCCATTCTCTGATTCCAATGGCCCAATTAATTGAATGGCTTCAAAAAGAGGGAAAATGCATAATGCGGATTTGTCATACTGGCAGGATGCTATATTGCTTGCCTATTGCTTGCATCTCCATCCCCCATATGGGCGGGCATGAACTGGCTTTTTGGAGAGCCTGCTTAGTCTCAGCAGGAGACGGGGGAACCATCCAGGATTTTTCACAATGAAATCACCTAATACAATTTCCAGTTTCTAAAAAGCAGATTGTGTCAGATTAGAAAGAGGATCAAAGCAATTTAGCAGGTTTACGAGGGCAAAGTTAAGATATCCATTCACTCAGTAGTGTAAATTTTATTAGTTTAACCGTAGGGGGTTGAGAGCTGCGAAAACAATGACATTTCTTGTTTCAACAACCTTTATGTCATAATATTGACTTTTTGTAGTACCTGTCCTTATTTTCTTTTTTTTTTTCAAGGTGCTTTATTGGCATGATGAATATTTGTACGTATGTTTATGAGTTTTCAGCTGAGCTGCATGCAGATAAAGAAAGAAAGAGTGCAATGCACACAAGTGTATTATTATTATTAGTAGTGGTAGTAGTAGTATTAATAATATATATATATATATATATACTATATATATATATATATATATATATATATAAACAAAACCTTGCTTTGAGACAAGGCTTTGTCAAGTCAACATTTAAACAACATTTTGCTTTGGACTTTTAGTTTGTATTTTAGTCATTTGCTGTTTCCTGTTTCCTTCATAAGCTCCAGTTTTTGCACCTGTGAGTTGCACCACTGCCCTGCCCTCCTGTTCCTGATCCAGCACCACTAGTCATGACAGGTCTGATCAGCCGCCAAGTGGGAAGATCATTCTCGGCATCAAAATGTACAAGAGTCTTTGAGGGTGATTCTTCTGCCCTGGGCTGTTCTTGTTGACAACCATCAATCATGCAGAAGTACACAGTGCCTTTCTCGTTTAATTCTCCTTGACTGATTGTGAGTCGGAGGGGGAGCAGGGCCTGACAGGCCTGGAGAGTGTCCCCCTGCCATGCTTCATTTCCCCCCGATGGCCACGGCAGTCTTTCAGAGCAATTTCTGCAGCCTTATGAAGGCAGTATTGTCTGTAATATCTCACTTATTATTCTAACAACTTCTCAGGATTTCTTATTTTTTTCTTCTGTTTGTTAGTGAGTATAAAATAATAAGTCACACGAGGCTGTGCACTGCAGTTGTTACGGGGCTGACGAGACGTGAGACTTGCGGATCCATTCGCAGAGTTTTTTTATTGTAGAAGACAGAGACGTGGTCATACAGCAGGCATGGGTCAGATAATGGCAGACAGGTATATGGTGGGCAAAACACAAGAATAGTCCTAGGGCTAGCGCAGGTCGACGATCGGCAGACAGAATCAAAAGGGGCAAGACAAAAGGGGTGAATCCAGGGAACCAGGCGAAGATCAGAAACCGAGAAGACTGAGGCTAAGGCTAAGGCTAAGGCAAATGACTAGGGCTAAGGCTAATGACTAGGGCTAAGGCTAATGACTAGGGCTAAGGCTAAGGCTAAGGCTAAGGCAAATGACTAGGGCTAAGGCAAATGACTAGGGCTCCGTAAGGTAGCTATCTCTAGGGGAGTGATAAATGCTGAAACAATACTCGGCAGAGGGAAGGGATCAGAGTGAGTGTTAAAT